AAGACTAAAGTATCGATAACTCACAGCAAAAGACTCCAGGAGGATGATATCACTTTCACGGAAAAGGACGCAGACGGATTGTTGTTACCACTTAACAACGTACTAGTAATCTCTTTAAATGTGTTAGATTTCAAAATAAAAGTGTGATCTAGTTGATCCAGGAAGTTCGGCTAATATCATAAAATGGAGAGTATTGGAACTAGCTAAACTCACCGAAAGCATTATTCCAGCAACAAAACTCCTCGCTGGATTTAACCTTGCGAGCGTGACGACCCGGGGAGAGATCTTGCTGCTCATGAATGCTGAATGAGTAATGAAAACAACTCTCTTCAAAGTAGTAGATAGTGATATGGGATACAACATCATCTTGGGAAGGCCATGGCTACACAAGATGAAAGTTGTACCTTCGACGTATCACTAGTTGCTGAAGTTTCCAACGCCCGAAGGAATCAAACAGATAAGAGGTGACCAACTGGCAACAAGGGAGATGAATGCAATCTCAGTTTCCAGCAGCAAAGGGAAGGAGCGCATGGCATAGCAATTACAGGAACCAGTGCCTACTTCCGAGTCAGAAGAGGTTATTCCAGGGGCAGAGTCGTCAGAACAATATCAGGTGCCGAGATATTTCCAAGTTATAGAAGAGACGGACGCAATGAAATCCACGATAGAGGAACTAGAGCAAGTGGCATTGTTTGAAGAATTTTTAGAAAGAAAACTTCACTTGGGGACAGGACTGCACCCCGAGCTCAGGTCTAGTTTTATTGAATTTCTTAAAGTTAATGTTGATAGTTTCGCATGGTCGCACAAGGATATGACAGGTATACTGACGAAAATAGATGTGCACAAGATGAGTTTGGATCCCAACGTACCACTAGTACGACAGAAGAAGCGCCCTATTATCGAGGCCAGGAATAAATTCGTCAAAGAAGAGGTAACCCGCTTGCTTAAAATCGGTTCGGTAAGAGAGGTAAGATATCCAAACTGGCTAGCCAATGTAGTAGTAGTTCCTAAGAAGAACAATAAATTTCATATATGTGTTGATTATAAAGATCTTAATAAGGCGTGCCCGAAATATTCATTTCCACTGCCAAATATCGATCAAATATTTGATGCCACGATCGGGCACGAACTGATGAGTTTTCTTGATGCTTATTCCGGGTACAACCAAATTATGATGTACCTAGAAGATCAGGAAAAGACTTCATTTATAACAAATTTTGGTACGTATTGTTACAATGTGATGCCTTTCGGTTTGAAAAACGTCGGAGCCACTTATCAATGGCTCGTAAATAAGATGTTTGAAAAGCAAATAGGAAAAATCATGGAATTTTATATAGACGATATGCTCATTAAGTCTTTGAATGCAGGTGACCACCTTAAGCATTTGCAAGAAATATTCGATATTATGAGGAAGCATAACATAAAACTTAACCCCGAAAAGTGCGCGTTCAGGGTCATCTCCGGTAAGTTCCCGGGGTTTCTGGTCTCACAAAGGGGAATTGAGGTAAACCCCGACAAAATCAAGGCCATAGATGATATCCCAGATCAATTATCGTCGGAAAAATGTCATCGCTTTTTTACATTTCTCAAAATGAAGAACAATTTTGAATGGACGCCGGATTGCCAGCAGGCTTAGAAGGACACGAAGAAGTACTTATCAAACCCTCCATTGCTCTCGAAACCAAAAGAAGGCGAAACATTGCTAGTCTACCTCGTAGTTTCAGAAGTTATGGTAAGTGCGGTTTTAGTTCGGGAGAATGAAGGTATGCAATTTCCTATTTATTATGTTAGCAAAATTTTAACGAGAGTAGAAACTCGCTACCCACATTTGGAAAAATTGGCCTTAGCTCTCGTAGTCGCCGCTCATAAGATGAGGCCCTATTTTCAATGCCACTTGATAGCTATGGTGAGTACTTTCCCTTTGTGGAACATCCTTCATAAACCCGAGCACTCGGGAAAATTGGCCAAATGGGCTGTCAAAATGAGTGAATTCGATATAGAATATAAATCAAGGACTGCAATTAAGTCACAAGTCTTGGCTGACTTCGTGGCCGATTTTAGTCCGGGACTGCTGCCTCTGGAAACCAAGGAAGCAGTAATGATGTCGGAATCGACATCAGGGGTTTGAACTTTATTTACGAACAGAGCCTCGAACGTAAAAGGGTCCGGGCTCGGAATAGTTTTAATCACGCATTCGGGGGAAACCTTAAGGCAAGCCATCAGTACAATCCCTTTAACTAATAATGAACCAGAGTATAAAGCTTTGTTTGAAGGGCTCAAATTGGCCCGGGGACTTTATTCTGAGGTTATCGAAATCAAATGTGACTCATAGCTGGTGGTAAATCAGGTTTACGGGATCTTTGATACCAAAGAAGAACATATGCAACAATAAGTGGTAAAGGTCCAAGCTCTTTTGGTAAAATTCCGTGAGTGGTCAATCACTCATATCCCGAGAGAGGATAATGCATAAGCGGATGCATTAGCAAACTTAGGCTCATCGACGGAAATAAAGGGATCGGAGTCCGGAACGGTGGTATAATTGATGAGCTTAGTCCTTGATGTGGATAGTTACTATGAGGTGAATTCGGCTAGTCTTGTCTGGGACTGGAGAAACGAAATAATCAACTATCTCAAGCATGAAAAGTTGCCCGATGACCCCAAAGCATCACGGGCGTTACGCACCAAAGTTGCGCGTTATAGCTTCAGGAAAGGTCAATTGTATAGAAAAATTTTCCAAGGCCCGCTGGCCCGGTATTTAGGAGCATCAGAAACTGATTATTTCATGAGAGAAATCCACGAAGGGATATGCGACAATCGCTCAGGCGCAGAGTCTTTAGTGCTGAAATTGGTATGGGCGGGATATTATTGGCCTCGCATAGAAAAAGAAGTAAAAGATTCCGTACAAAAATATGATAAGTGCCAACGCTACGCATCACTAGTACATCAACCAGTTGAACACTTACACTCGGTTCTATCCCCATTGTCGTTCATGAAATGGGGGATGGATATCATCGGACCGCTGCCACCGGCTCCTGGAAAGGTAAGGTTTTTTTTAATTTTAACTGATTATTTTTCTAAATGGGTGGAAGCAGGTTCTTATCAGAAGACCGGAGAATGCGAAGTGGTCGAATTCCTATGGGAAAATATAATTTGTAGGTTCGGGATACCAAAAGAGATAGCATGCGACACTAGGCCTCAGTTTATCGGTGCAAAAGTTACAAAGTTCCTCGAAGACTTGAAAATAAAGAGAATTACATCTTCGCCTTATCCTCCGAGTGCAAACAGTCAAGCGGAGTCGACAAACAAAGTGATCATTCAAAACCTTAAGAAAAGGTTGGAAGCACCAAAAGGCAAATGGCCGAAGAGTTGCCCGGAGTTCTATGGGCCTACCGAACAACGGCCAAATCAAGTACAGGAGAAACTCCTTTTTCCCTCGTGTACGGTGCTGAAGCCCTGATCCCGGTTGAAGTGGGTGAACCCCCTTTGAGATATTCTCAGGCGAATGAAGAATCGAACAACGAAGCAATGCTAATCAACTTGAAGCTGCTCGAGGGACGCAGGGACTTGGCACATGTGAGAGTGCAGCTCAAAAGCAGAGGATGGAGCGACATTACAATCAAAGAGCCAACTTCCATTTTTTCAAAGTAGGAGACTTGCTTCTAAGGAAAGTAACACAAAATATACTGGAGCTCAACGCGGGAAAGCTAGGTCCAACGTGGGAAGGTCCCTACTGGATTTTAGCTATCACTGGGAAAGGTTCATATGAGTTGGAGAACCAGAATGGGGACAAATTGCCTAGCAACTGAAATGTGGCACACCTCAAAAGATATTATTGCTGATGAACGACGCTCAAATAGAAAGTATGTGTTGTACTCTTTTTCCCTTCGTTCAGTTTTTGTCCCAATTGGGTTTTTTTGGCAAGGTTTTTAAAGAGGTAGCGACAGAAAGCATACTACGAAGACAGCATCAATAAGACCTTTGATAGCAAGGCAAACGAACAAGTTTTCACTCGGGGACGATTAGGTAATCTTTGGTTCTATAGAAAATTCCCAACGGGAAGTTAAGTTTGCTACCGAATAGAGGTTACCCCACCATTCACGTGCACAAACCTCCAGAGGACTGTTAGGTATTCTTTCGCTCCATAGCATGGATTCCTAAGGGGAAACAAGATATGTTACCGAGTGAAGGATTACCTGCAATTCATTGGTGGGACCTTCGAAGATACAAGACTTCCAGTGTTCCAATTCGCATTCTTCGCATTCAAACACTAGGTGGAATGATATGAGGATACGGCAACAATGACTGACACATCAACCGAGAATAAAATTCGAAAAAATATGCATCATCGGGACCGGGGACTGCACAGCCAGCCCCGTAGAAACAAGTTATACAAGATTAGCCACAAGTAATGGCAATTTATTTTCTGCATAGCAAAATGCTTATGTAATTTCTGAAAATAGAAGGAATAAAATGAAATCATTTTGCTTTTATCTTGTTTCTTGTCTGAGCGATGAGCTGATTTTGTCATTTGAAAGTTAAACAAGTACTTCAAATGTTAGTGCCGTAATGAACATGAGATGTCCTCTTCAAGAGCACCGTAAACATAAGAGGATCCTCTCTTATTAAAACCCTCACGTTAAAGGGTTGATTCCAAAATAATCAATGCCAGAATCCAAAATGCCATCGGGGAAAAATACACCGGAAGCTGCATATGAAAAGGATGCAAAAATCAAACTTGCAAAAATATTCATAAAACCCCTCACGTAAAAGGGATAATACTCGGAACCAAAATGCTTCGAAGAAAAAGCATCTGAGACTACACATAATATAGTGCGAATTGAACAACATGCGCGAAATGCTTGAGCAAATGCAAAAGTTAAAAGCTTGCATAGATATTCAAACGAAAGGAAGACTCAAACGATAGTTGGACAAAAAGTATGTCTTTATTCACAAGAACAATCCAAAATGTTACAAGTACAAAATGAGAAAAGAAGGAAAATCTAATCTACAGCGCCTCTGGGACCAGGAGGAAGAGAAGTATCCGCATTGCCGGGAAGAGTAGGTAGTTCCGCCGATGGCTCAACGCTTTCCCCAGTTTGGTCTTCGGCCTCATCGCCTTCCGATCCCCCTTCAGTTTTCGAAAATTCAGAACCGGAATCAAAAGAACATGGAGCATTAGACTGCGCTGGGAGTCCATTTTTTGCAGCCAACTCAAGCTCTCGGGCCTTAGCAATTTTGGCATCAACATCAATGATACCAGCTTTGGTCTCTTCCAAGGTTTTTCTCCTCATGCTATACATGGAATAATTTTTTTCAACAATGAGGGAAGCCGTTCGGCGCTTAAGTTCTTCTTTGAGTTGAGTAACCTCGGCGAAGGTTTTCCTGGGCAGATCTAGCATATTTAAGACTGACGTCGAGCTCGCGGACAGTTGAACTTAAGAGCCTATTATGCTTAATAGTTTTCCTATACTTCTCTTCTAGATGGGCATGTTTCACCTCCACAGCAGCAAGCTCTTCACTTTTAGAGTTCAAGGCCACCTCCAAGTTAACCCTTGGCCTTGGCCTCCTCCAAGCTCTTCCCTGTAACAAGAACGGCATTCTGGACTTCTGCCCATTTGGCCTTGGCCTCGTCAAAATTAACCCTTAGGGCCCAATTTCTTGGCTAAGGGTTACAACTTCTTGCTCGCTTTGCTGCAAACGAGCCTCAGAAACAGCGGCCTCAGTAGCCCTAGTTTCCAGTTCCGAGAGGCGGAGAACAGTCTGGTCCCGTTCTGCCAAAAGTTGATCCCGTTTAGAAGTAAGTTCTTCCTTCTCATGAATCAAATTTTGAAGACCCTCAGAGGCAAGAAAGTTGGCCTATAAAATAAAAAGAGGTAAAACTTAGAATACATTCGTTCAAAAGTAGAAGAAATAACAGAGGAAGGAAGGAACGTACTGCCATGGAGTTATGCATAGCATTGTTCAACAAACACTCGCCTGAGAGTGTCTGAATCTTTTCCAATTTTTTTCTGAAGACAAAGGCTTCAGGTAATTAGCAAGCTCCACCGGTCGTGATAGCAGATTACACCCAGTAAAGACCGAAAGAGTAATGTTCCTCCTCCTTTGTAGATCTTCAGAAGGGGCGGCATAATTTTGCCTCTTCTCATGAACGAGGGACTGTGGAAGAGGAACACCTTCTTCATGGCCAGGTGCGGCCAATGGAGATGGTGCAGCAACCGCTGGTGGAAGAGTAGATGAAGATGGAAAAGATGTAGCAGTTGCTGGTGTTAGTGAAGATGGAGCTGAAGCTGATGGGGTTGAAGAGTGAGAAGCAGCTGCATCAAATGCAGCTCTAGTTGTTCGATGCTCACTAACCAAAGACGGAAAGGACCCGTCACTCATCCCCGCAGCACCGGTTGCAACAATTGGGGCCCAAAAAGGGGAGATGGCATATTCTACCAAATCAGATTCTCCCCAAAGTGTCGAGACATCGTCTTCAGTTGATGTAACTATCTCAACAGGTCAAGCATCCTGTTGAGATGATGAGGATTGTCGCCTTCTATGTAAATAAGCTCCCTCATCAATAACTTATTCATCATCATCAATCACCACGGTGTCTATGACCGACCCAGAGGGAGTACCAATCATCATCGCCACCGGAGATGATTCAGGGGCATCAATCTTTTGCCCTTTTATTCTTTCCCCCGGTCGTAGAGGAGTGTCTTCTCTTTGTTTGTTTATCCTTCGGTCGGGGACTCCGTAAAGAAGTATTTGCACTCAACACAGGCCCGGAGATACCTGTTCAAGTAAGTGTTTCCTGAAGTAGCCTCGCTGCATCAGCAGGATCAACCAGAATGTCCTCCTCGGGGACAATAACGGAGCCCGCAGGTAGACCTAATTCCGTGAACAAGTCAGAAGGGTTCAACCAAGTTCTTCATATACAAAGTGGAAGAAGGGTAAATTAGAGTTACCCTGATTTTTGGCCTTCCACCCGTATTTAAGGGCCATTTCTTTCCACAAACGAGTTTTAGGCGTTGTGACTCCAAAATTTTCTAAACCCACCGGTTCAAACCTTCCACCACCGATAGGATTTATCGAGTTGTTGAAACATGCAAAGGGTAAAGAGATGATACGGCCATAGAAGAATATCTAGTACGAGGAATATTATACAAAGAACTTACGAGTGCGGTTCCAAGCAACCAGAAAGGATGAAGCTATTGTCGGAATGATGTCATTGGTGGCAACTGCAACAAACCGTTCCATCCACCCACGGTCGTTGTCATTGTCCATGCTAGACCACAAAGCATGGTGACCACACTTGCAAAGGTTTATCATTCCCCCGAGGAAGATTTTGGGGGAATAGAGAATCATCACATGAGCTAAGGTTAGCTCCTCCCTAGTTTCTTGGCACAAGCATCCGAGGCAGGCGATCATCCTCCACACTGAAGGACTTACCTATGCTAAACATATCCGGTAGCAAAGGCAAAACTCCAAAATCATGGAATCAAGTTGTCCGCTCAAAGAAAACGCACCCAAAGTAAAGGGATACGTGAAAAAGTATGTAAAACCTTCCTTGGGAAGGGTCACTCGCTCCGACAGATCAGAAGTGATAATTTCCAACTCATTGCAGCGGCAATTCTCCTTCACAGCAGGAATACTGGAAGGACGAATGGAAGAAGGGTACCTACTAACAACCCATGTACGAGGGTTAGCAATAGGAAATTTCTTTTCAAAATCCTTCGAAGTACTAAGCCTTCTTGGAATGATGGAATCCACTGTTGGAGGAACGGAATCCTCAGTTTTGTTCTTATTCTTTGTAGAACCACCATGTTTGGAGAAAGAAGCCATTGGAAAAGAAGAAGGTAAAGAGTTTGTGGTTGAAGAAAATTAGAAAAAAGGATGGAAAACAAGGATGCAAATCAGAAGCTCAAGCAATTGTGAAACACAAAGGAAAAGAAAGTTGCGTATAAGTAAAAGTTTGACGGCTAAATTCATGGCCATGATTATCTCGATAATCGGTAAAAGCTGTGTTGAATCATGGGATGACGCGTGTTAGGGGCATTAAATGCGGAGAGATATGCATCTAATCAACTGTCAAAGACCTTCAGAGGGAATTATAGTAATTCCCGCCAAAAAGAGGTTTCTACCAACTTCCCGGTAACACAAAGTTATGTTACTGGAAAGCAGGGGGACTATCTGTATAGGATAAAATATGATATGACATTTGGCTGACTAAAAGGAGAACACATGGAATCCAAGATGGAATGGCTGATGACCGAACGAAGCCACTACGCTTGTCACCGGAATGGATAATATTCATAAAAGTGTATTAAATGCTCTGCTTCCGGTAGTATTTACTAAGGAATATTCTACAGCATTAAGAGCGATGGTCTGTTACAAAGAATTTGGCATTTACGCTCAATGTTACATCTTCATCAATGACCCTCATAATTGACATTAAAGGAGGGCATGATCCTAGGACCTTTTTCCCTTGGCATAGCTATAAATAGTGAGTTCAGTTACCATTGTAAAGGAAACGAAATTTCTAGCAAGAACATATACTATATTCTATACAAAGCTTTATACAATTTCACTCTCTTACTTTTTGATCTCATCATTGCTGTGTTCGGAAATCGTATTCACGGAATCACCATCTCTGCTATCTCATCTACATTCTAAGGCTAAGTATCGTATATTTCTTCGATTATTATATTATTTTAGGATCAAATTAGTTCACTTGTCTAGAAATCATGTATAAATTCAACTGCATTGTTTCACGGACAAACAAGTATATTCAGTTTACGTATAAGAATAATATATTTTCTATATCATACAAGAAGATAAAGGTGAGCAACTAGCATTATGTATTGTTAAATTACTTAATAAATAAGACTACATTTTTTACTAAGTCAACAGATAAAAAGGAAGAATCAACTGGGTTAAAATTATCCAATTCAAACTCGTGATTGACACACTTTTTATCACTGGGTTGAATACTCGAGGAAAACAACTTAGAAACCATGATTTAATCAAAGATATTGTTTGACCAAAAATATGACTCTTGGTTCAAATAATTAAATTTAGGAGATTAAGAGTTAAACCTAATTAATAATAATATTTCTAGATGTAACTTCCGAAAGAGTGATAAGCGTCAAATAGATCTGGTAGAATAGTGATAACAGTATGCAATAACTATTTCAAAAAACATGAGCAATAATGTACCATTCAACAACAATGAATAATAATAAATGGCATTTAAGTAAATATAAGGAATAATTCACCCAATAAAGGATGAACTAGATGGTTGTTCCTCCTAACAATAATGAGCGACAGAGAAATCCTTGAATGTTCGAATTATTCTCGGGTCTGATGGAAAAGTATGGAATAATATAGACAAGAATCTTGGTAAAAAGGTGATGTTTGTATCTTAGTAAGAGAGAGAGAGAGAGAGAGAGAATCTTTTGTCAAAGTGTATTCTTATAAATGAATATCACATGCCTCATATCATTATCTTTTTATTTATATGAGACATATTCCTAGTAAACCTTAATAGTACAAGTGCAGAGAATATCCACTAGAATATTCTCTTTAATATCCTATTTCAAAAACTAGCTGTTACAACTTCATCAATGGTCCTCGGCCTCGACCATTATTGATATCTCGACCATGGCTCTCTTCGACTCTTCGACTATGAGTCTTGCGGCTTCCTAGTCCACCTCAACTAACGACGGCCTGAGAATTCTCCCTTTAGTATTATCTTATTTTAAATATTCTAGGGTAGATTTTGACCAATACAGTTAGTCCCTCCGCTCATTGAGGCCCGTCTCAGGCGGGCTTGATGAGTTAATTCTATTCATTGTGGTCGAAACAATTGGACGAGCTGATCTGGTCGTGATGATTGAGGCAAGCTAGCAATGTGGCCCTTCCTGATTGGTCCTGCCGCTTCGATTCCGATGCCAGGTAATGATGAGCCAATTTCTCGGTTTTGATGCCTGAATTTCTATAAATAGGGATGTGAGGATGTAATCCCAAACTTTACAAATTTCCTACATCGAAACCCTATATCGTCTTCTTCATTTTCCATTGTTGTGCATCTTTTCTCTTTATTCCAATGATTCTTATTGTTTTCAATCCTCCGTTGTTTGATACCTTCCTCTCTTTCGCTGAAAACATGTCTAATGTACCTTCTGAGTCCATCGAGGGAAGTGACCCAGTCCCTCTAGCGATTCTTCCTCCTCCTCATGCGGAGAACGTTTCCGCTACTGTTGAGGGCGGAGGCTTCCCGATAGTGGAAGAGATAGTTCCTCGTAACCCCGATGTCAGGTCTGATTTCTCAAAATTGCCTGAAGCCGAACCCGGAATCTTTAAGTTAGTGACGAAGGAGGCTGATTTGTTAGATCTTAAGGCTAAATACGGCCTTCCCAATCACGTCGAGTTTATCCCTACCAGGTGGGATGTGGTGCAAGACCGCCATCCTAGGTATTGCGCATTCTACACCTACCCATTTCATGTCGGCTACACTCTTCCTCTCCTTTTGCTGGCGGAGGAATTTTGTCGCTTCTACGGCATTTTCCTGGCTCAACTCGTGTCGTATGTATACAAGCTCATAAGGATTCTTACTAAGTTCGCGGAGTTAGCCGGGGTCGAGATCACACTTCAACACTTGATGCACCTGTTCGCCCCCAGCTTTTATAGGGGGACGATGCTGAACCTTCGCCACCGAGGAGGCAAGTGCCTGGTGGTGAAGATGGACGATAAGGCTAACCGCCAGTTCTGGCTCAACTTTTTCTTTGTTAGAACTAAGGACGTGGTGGCCAACGTCAACGGGTTCCCTGAAGCTTAGAATTGCACTCGTAAGCGCCTAACTCCCTTGCATGTAGGTACTTGGTGTATTTTGCTTAGTCGTGGATTCTGAGGTCTTTTTCTTTTCTTATGCAGCCAAGACCTCGCCTCCTGCTTTGGTCGAGGATATTTCTGGTTGGGTCGGTCGGCTCCTCCCTCTCATCACGGGGATTCGTGGCTGCCCGGGCTTCTTTAAGAGGTTTGGGCCAGCTCCCCCCTCGACTGGTATGTTATTCTCGTCTTTGACCTGTTAGTTATTTCTATTTTGTGGTTTACTTTGGCCGACTTTCTTTTCCATTTGTACTCCCCTTAGTTTCAGCTAGGGGGTCCTCGAGGAGGTCGAGAGCTCCTGTACCCGCATTCCGTAAGAGAAAAGATGCTGCCTCTTCATCTCCTGCCCCTTCTATGACCGCGACTGATTCTGCTCACTCCTCGGTCCTACCCGCTACAACTTCAGTATCAGTTCCTTCTTTAGCTGCAGAGTCTTCGGCCGCGGAGCCTTCGGCTTCTCCTTTGCACCGCCTCATAGATGAGGAAGAGGAGTTATTTCTAGGTGATGG